AATTACCTGCACAGTATTGTGCAAGTGTATGCATTTTTCTGGGCGGGGGATACACGGCTTTCAGAAATCCTTAAAGGGCCCCATGAGCTGAACAAAGGGAGGAGCCAGTTTCTTGAGGACCTGTCAGGCTTGGCCTCAGATTCCCCCTTCCCAACCCATCTCGTTCCTTCTGTGGGTAGATAGCTGTGGGCCGGGCTGGGAATTCTTCTTTTCAGGAACTGGCTCCTGGATGAGCAAATAGAAAAAGGAGGAGCTGTCTGTCAGGTGATATTTTCACTGAAGTTTAAGATTATGACAGCAAGAGCCAAAACCGGTTTGGCTCAGTGGATAGAGCGTCGGCCTGCGGACTGAAAGGTCCCAGGTTCGATTCCGGTCAAGGGCATGTACCTGGGTTGCGGGCACATCCCCAGTAGGAGATGTGCAGGAGGCAGCTGATCGATGTTTCTCTCTCATCGATATTTCTAACTCTCTATCTCTCTCCTTTCCTCTCTGTAAAAAATCAATAAAATATATTTTAAAAAAAAAAAAAAGATTATGACAGCAAGAGACCTCTATAGGGTTGGAGCAAGCTGCCTTCTCCGCTCATGCTCCTGGTGTTAAAAGAGAGGTCCCATCCCCTCTGCAGCTCTCCATTTGCTCACGTGCAGTGGGGCAGGAATAGAGTTCTTGGTGGTCTCATTTGGTCAGTTTCAACAGGACAGGTGGAGGTCAGGGTGGTATCGGGAGGGCAGGCACCTCCAGCTTCCCAACCTCCTCTTTCCCGTGTCCAGGTGGCCCGTGGAGGACCCCACCACCATCCAGGTCCTGAGACGCAGTGACCCCCGCCCGTCTGCCACCATTCCCCAGAATGGACCGTGGCGGCCTCCTGCCCTTCCAGCTATGGTGCCCCCGGCCCTTTGGCACCTACTCACAGAACCAGCCGCGCCCACCTTCCACAGCCCTCAAGCCGTCAGCCTGTTCGGAGTCAGGCAGCAGGGCTGAGCCAGACCATGGGCCTGCCCACTCAGAGAACACGCCACCCGCCTTGGGCACGGAGGCCCCTTCCTCCCAGCCTGCCCCTCTCCTCTCAGCAGCCGCTGCTGGTGACGAGGGTCGAGTCCTGCTGGACACGTGGTATGTGATCAAGCCTGGGAATACAAAGGAGAAGGTGGCCTTCTTTGTGGCCCACCAGTGTGGTGGCGGCAGCCGGGCCAGCTCTATGAAGGTCAAGGGGCACTGGGGCAGTGACAGCTCCAAGGCCAAGCGGAGGAGGCGCTGTCTTGAGCCTACGAAAGCTCCGCCGGACCCCGGGGGCCGGGAGGGGCCCCCTGCTGCTCAGGGGACCCCAGCCGCAGCCAGTGAGGATGTGGACCTGCTCTCTGTGGCTGAGATGGTGGCCCTGGTGGAACAGCGGGCTGCCCTGGCCCTGCAGAACTACCCCCACCCCGGCACCCCAGCGCCTGTGGTCTTTGTGTCGGCAGAGCAGGGTGGTTCTGCCAAGGGGCTGGGGTCTGAACGGCGGTCTGGTGGCGGGGACTGCAGCCGTGTGGCTGAGGCGGTGGCTCATTTCGAGGCCCAGCGGGACAACCCTCCAGCCAAGGGCCTCCGCAAGGAGGAGAGGCCTGGGCCAGGCCCCGGGGAGGTACGCATCGCCTTCCGTATCTCCAATGGCCGAGAGCCCCGTGCACCAGATGGCAGCTTGCCCAACGGGAGTGGGGGCCGGCCAGGCTGTGCCTACCCGGGCAGCCCAGGACCAGGGGCCCGAGCCAAGGACAAGATTACTTGTGACCTGTACCAGCTCATCAGTCCCTCTCGGGACGCCCTCCCTAGCAACGTGGAGTTCCTTCTGGCCAGGGCGGACGAAGCCAGCGAGGGGGAGGCCCCAGCCCCTGCCAGGCCGGAGGACACTCCCCCGGCACCCCCTCCACCCCCCGCCCGGGACTGCGGAGCATCCGGCTTCCACGTGGATGTGGTGGTGACAGGCGTGGTGGACGAATGCATCTTCTTTGGCAAGGATGGTACCAAGAATGTGAAGGAGGAGACAGTGTGCCTGACGGTCAGTCCTGAGGAGCCACCCCCGCCTGGCCAGCTCTTCTTCCTCCAGTCCCGGGGGCCGGACGGGCCTCCCGAGCCACCCCCAGCAGACTCGCCGGCCACTGCACCTGGCCCAGATGACGCTGAGGGCACAGCAGACACCTCCCTGTGCCGCCTGTACCGGCACGTGTCACACGACTTCCTGGAAATCCGCTTCAAGATCCAGAGGCTGCTGGAGCCACGGCAGTACATGCTTCTGCTTCCCGAGCATGTGCTGGTCAAGATCTTCAGCTTCCTGCCCACCCGGGCTCTGGCCGCCCTCAAGTGCACCTGCCACCACTTCAAGGGCATCATCGAAGCGTTCGGTGTTCGGGCCACAGACTCGCGCTGGAGCCGAGACCCCCTCTACCGCGATGACCCTTGTAAGCAGTGTCGCAAGAGATACGAGAAGGGCGACGTGTCACTCTGCCGCTGGCACCCTAAGCCCTACCACCATGACCTGCCTTACGGACGCTCCTACTGGATGTGCTGCCGCCGAGCCGATCGAGAGACGCCGGGCTGCCGCCTGGGTCTGCACGATAACAACTGGGTGCTGCCCTGCAATGGGCCTGGTGGGGGCGGGGGCCGGGCTGGCCGGGAGGAGGGGAGGTGAAGCCAGGGGAGGGGGGGAGCCCACCATGCCCGCCCCTCTCCGTGGGTGCCGAGCGCCAGGACTTGGTCACCAGCCCTACCCCCAGTCCGGGCAGCGTTCATCCCCCTCCAGGCTGAGCTGGGTCCAGGGGGATGACCGAAGAAGCACTCTGACTGACTGACCCCCGTTGGTTTTCTATTCTTGAGACCCAGGGCCAGGGACCCTCGTGGAGGGTGTTTTTATAGCATCTCAAGTTTCTTCTCCATTCAGCCCTAGCACCCTTCCTGCCACTCGACACCCCAGGGACCCACCAGCAGGGAGCAGACGGCAGCTAATTTTGGTACTACTTAAAGGTTCCCCCATCCTGGCCCCCTTCTGTTCCCCCCTAGCCATCCCCATCCTCTGCTTTGGGGCTGTGTTCTCTCTCCCAAGAGGCTGCAGCACCCAAGGCTGGTACCTCTCCTAACCTGTGCCAGGGCTCACCTCCTCTTCAGGAATTGGGGGCCATTCGATCACAGATCAAATTAGGTACGTTTCATGGCAGCCTGCCATTTCTACATGTTTTCCCCATTAAAACAATAAAAATCAGTTTTCTCCTTAACCTCAAGCTACTAGTCTCTCCACTTCCCCCAAAGGGGAAGAAAAAAGAAAGTTGAACTATAAAAATTTCCCTCCTCCCATTATTTAAGCTATTTACCATCACCACCGCTTTAAAAAAAAAAAAAAAAAGCTGTGAAGCCCTTTGCCTCGCTCTTGACGGCGTGGGGGGCCAGTGGGCAGGGACTGTGGGTTTGAGTTTGGTTGTTTTCCTTCTGCTCTGGGTACTTGTTCAGGCTTTAGGGTCTCCACCCTGAGCCACGTATGTTTCTTTAGGAAAAGCCTTTGGTTAACTGAGACCTTGATTTTTCAGGCAATTGGGTCTGGGGCGTTTTTGTTTGTTCTGTTTGGGTTTTGTTTTTTTGTTGTTGTTCTTGTTTTTTCATCCCTGTGGTTCTGGAAGCCTCTGGCGTGTGGCATCTGACCAATTTTGAATTGGTCCTTTCTATAAAATCCATATTTATAAGGCTGAGCGCAGACTGGTTTGTATACTGTTCAGGGAGGGGATTTGGGAGAGAAGGGAGTCATGGGTCCAAGCAAGGTCAGATGGAAAAAGCTGAGAAAAGGATCCTTAGCCAAGTCCCTTAGCATGAAATTATTTTTGACTCTTCATCTGTGTCAGTTTGGACTCAAATCTCAAAATAGTAGTAGCTTAAACAAGATAGTTTTTATTTCTTTAGAAATCCAGTATTGGGCAGGTATGGTGGCCCTGAAGTCATCAGGAACACGTGGTCCAAGGTGACTGCTAGAACTCTAGCCATCACCGTTTTGTAGGAAGGGAAACCCCCTTCCTTCCGAAAGCACTACACTGTACAGTAGGTCCTCAAATTAACATCATTTCATTCAGCATCATTTGCTTCTCACTAGTCAGAACTTAACCAAATGGAAGGACTGCAAAGGAGATTGGGAAATGTAGTCTTTTAGCTGGATGTGTTATGCCCAACAAAAGAACTCTTACTAAAGATCCCTATCATGAAAGTTTTAAAATATCCATTTGATTATTTACTAAATAAAAAGGGATTAAGACATTTAAAAAATTCAAGTATAAGAAGAGGGAAAATAGATTTTGAGAGGTAGCTGACATTCTTTGATATTCTTATCAGGGAATCAAAATTGCCAGAGAGACTAAGATATATCCATAGTAGTTACTCAATGCTTAGATTTTAGAATAAAAGAGACCTGGGTTTGAATCTTGGCTTGGTTTTATGGGACTTCTGTTCCCTGTGGAGGGAACCAGATTATTGGGACTCTGCTGCTGAAAATAGTAAGTTAAATATCTTTAAAGCATCAAATAGCCAATAAAATATGGTTAAGGACACACTGAGCCCATAAATTTAAAGAAAAGGTACATGGGGCCCTGAAGCCACTTTTTGCTCTGAGGGCATTTGCTGATGTGGACAAGCGTGGGTTTCCTGTTTGTAGCCTTATTGGGGCAGGCAGAAGTCAAGGCCAAAGCCTGCCCGAGGTGAGGAATCTAACAGCTGAGATCCCACTGAACCATAGGCTGGGTAAGGGTGACCCAGAAGATCGCAGGGATGTTCTGAACACTGAGGGGAGCACAGACCAAAGAAAGAAAAAGGTGGACCTGAAAACTGGCGGGCGCAGGCTGGCTCTGGCTCGGGTTTGCGGCTCGGTTTGCATCAGTGATGTTTCCCAGGGTACTTCTAGCTGAGATGTTTGGCAGAAACAAACACATCCTCTGGTGTAAGGAACTGTCCCCGAGAGTCCTCCACACATAATTTTCAGACAATGAGTGGTATACAGTCAAATAACCAAATATGCATGGAAATACACCAGCACGAGCAAGAACCAGCAAAACAACAGAGCAAAACCAGGCTTCAGATGATGAGACTCCGTCATAGATGAGAATACAACAAGAGCTTGCAAATACCTGCAGGGAACTCAGAGTTAAATAATAGCCTAGCCAATATGAAAGGAAAAAGCCCACCAACATGTAATAACCAAAAGTAAAAACTCAAGTGTGGCTAAACAGCAAATTAGACACAACTGAAGATTTATTACACCAGAGATAAGTCCACAAAGTAGCAGACAACAGTTTATATAGCCCAGCTGGTGTGGCTCAGTGGTTGGGTGTTGACCTATGAGCCAGGAAGTCATGGTTTGATTCCTGGTCAGGGCACATTCCCAGGTTGCAGACTCAATCCCCAGTGTGGGGTGTGATTCTCATCATTGATGTTTCCTTCTATCCCTCCCTCTCCTTTCCTCTTTGAAATCAATATATATATTTTTTTAAAAAGTTATAGAGGATAGAGGGAAAAAGTATTTAATTGGCATTCTAGAATCAGAAGCAAGGATAGTGCAAAGATATTTAAAGATGTGCTTTACTCCAGGCTGGTAAAAGACCAATAAGCCCAACCAGTCAAGCAGGATGAATAAAAAGAAATGTACCCCTAGACACACTGCAGTGAACACGCCCAGCTATGTGATCTTCGGCAGCGGGTTTCTCTGAATCTCAGTATCTTAAAATGAAAAATGAGAATACTGATGGTTCCTCAAAAGATTGGCGTGATACTTCTCATCCAGGGCGCTCAACTGTGCTTACTAAATACACCTAGTGGCCCCTTCAGAGCACGAGGCTGGGGATCCCAAGTTTGGGGGACAAATGGAGCGGGGAAAGCAGCAGCGGCAGCCTCATCTGTAAAATGGAGCTCACAATCCTTGCCCCGGATTCATGCAAAAACTATTCATCAGGCCCCTTGCCCGGTGCCTGGCGCATGGTGCACTGAACCAGGGTGTCTTGTAGGGAGACAGGCTGGGGATGTAACTGAACACTGCTTCCCCTCTCCAATATGGAGGTGATGTCTCATGTACTTCTGCATGGCTGGGAGGCTCAGGGGACATGGTGGCCCACAAGAAATGAGCAAACAGGAATCTCCATGTGGTTTGAGACCCTCCGGCTGATGTCTGTCAATTTTCCTTTCTGAACTCTGGACTTCCGCCAGTTCCACCTCTAAGAGGTTATTAGTCCGTCCATCCACCCACCCCCAACCCCACTCTAACTTGCACCCAATTAAAAGCCTCAGGAGGGGCTACTTTTTTTTTTTTTTACAGAGAGGAAGGGAGAGGGATAGAGAGTTAGAAACATCAATGAGAGAGAAACATCGATCAGCCGCCTCCTGCACTCCCCCCACTGGGGATGTGCCCGCAACCAAGGCACATGCCCTTGACCGGAATCGAACCTGGGACCCTTGAGTCTGCAGGCCGACGCTCTACCCACTGAGCCAAACCGGTCAGGGCTAAGAGGAGCTACTTTTTGTTAACAATCTGTTGGTCCCAAACGTGTGACTTGGAAGGAAGGTAGGACATGGGGTTAGGAGCATGGCCCTGGGTAAGAATCTGTAAACAACTGGTTCATAAATTTCAGACCCAAGCCCCTCATTTGCAAAATGAGAACCGAAATCATACCTACCTCAGGGTTTGGGGGGAGACTGAGTTGCTATATATAAAGTGCTCATGGTGCCTGGCCTGTAGTAGGTACCCCAATAAATGTCAGCAACTGTGGCAGAATGTGAATCGAGAACCTTCTCTTTATCCTCTCATTTGATATCCTGAGTTTAAACCCATGAATTCTCGAATCTTCTCCAGCCTTGCGTTGACTCAGGCCAATCAATGCTCACCTTTACTACCTACTAACCCTCCAGACTGGCCTGATGTCCCTGCTACCTACCAGGTCTCCACCAAAGTCAGAAAGGTAGGTCCTGGCCTGTGTGGCTTGGTTGGGTGGCATCCCGTGCACAGAAAGGTATCTGGTATGTGCCCTTGACCAGAAATCGAACCCAAGACCCTTTGGTATGCAGACTGACATTAACCATTTAGCCACACCAGCCAGGGTGGAGCCTGCATTTTTAATAAGTACTCCAGTGGAGTCTGAAAATTAGGTATGGTTGGGAAATACTTCCTCAGGCCATCACTGGAGTTGGAGTTATACCCACCATCTCGCACTCCTGTACCCATAACTTAAGAGACAGGACGGTTTGGTATAGTTTGCAGTGACCTCTGGCCTGTCTTATTCCTTCCATAAACATAGCAGTGTTTCCCAAAGTTTCTTCTGAGGTACCTAGTTCTGTGAGGTGCTTCCCAAAAAAGGGGTTCCATGGTGAAATACTTGGGAAAACAATGCATTGTCTTACCGTTGAAAATTCACATTGTGCAATGAACTCATTTAATGTCTCACCCTTCTTCCTTGATCCCTTCTTTCATGCAACACCTTTAAAGTTCTGCAGAATATGTTTTGCAGAAACACTAGATTATTGCCTGTTGGGTCTGCAGAATCTGGAGTTCCCATGTATTGGCTTCCATCTCCTCCCGCTTAGCACATCCTCTGTGGGCCCCACATGGCACATCCACGTGGAGCTGGGTTTGGACGGTGCAGTAGCAAGGCTGACACTCTGGAGAAGGAAGTGCCACAAAAACAACAGCCACAGAGAATTCACTGGGTTGGGTGGTGTTGCCGGTCCATATGCCAGTCCATGGTTTGCTGACTAAAACCAAGAATAGCAGTTGCCCTTGCGAACTTTTTCAGCCCAATGTCTCCCTCAGAGCAGGGAGCTCTTATTCCTTTGGCTCTCACCCCACAATGGTCTCTTCCATGTCTTTGAAGAGTGGCAGCTTGAGACACTCAAAGGAGAGAGGGTCTTCCACTAACAACACAAGCAGAGCCAAAGGCATTAAAGAGGACGAGCCAGCACAGCCGAGGTGGGCCCGGCCTGAGCTCGCTGGCTCCCGGTGCCCCTGCCACATTCCCTGCTGGGTCTTTCTCCTTCAGAGTCAACCCGGCAGGCTAGAGCCCCAAGTATTCAGCCAGGAACACGGCGAGGATGCGGCTCAGGTTGTGCACCGTAGGGGGGTGCAGATTGGCCTCAGAGTCGTCAGCGGTGTGCCAGACAGAGGGGAAGGGCGTGGAGATGAGGTGGAGCACCGGGACCCCTGTGGGACAGAGAGAAGACTCAGGCCCAGGCCCCCCCCTCCCCGCCCCCTCAGAAGATAACTCTGTTCTGGCGATTGAAGAACTCTGAGCAATCGCTTTAAGTGTGTGAGGGTACATGTTAGTTTAAAAATATGTATCCAGTATATTGTTTTCCTGACAAAAATTAAGAGGAACTCAAAATTTAATGCATTATGGAAAGACCAGGAGAAAGGACAGATGTCTGACTATCCTCTCTTTTTCTCTTCTTTACTAATAGCACTTACATAGTATTTGTTCTATTCCAGGCCCTAGTCTAAGGCCATATATCACAAATACACACCATTTTATCCTTATAATTACCCTTTAAGGTGGACACCATAACTACCGCCATTTTACAGATGTGGACACTGAGGCACAGAGGTAGGCAGGTGATTTGCCTAAGATCCTGTCTCTAGTAAACAACAGTCAGAATTTGAACCCAGGCCATGTGTCTCCATGTGCTCCCCCTGCCCCTATTTTAAAAATATTTTTTATTGATTTCAGAGAGGAAGAGGGAGAGATAGAAACATCAATGATGAGAGAGAGTCATTGATCGGCTGCCTCCTGCACACCCCCCACTCGGGATTGAGCCCACAACCCAGGCATGTTCCCTGACCAGGAATCGAACTGTGACCTCCTGGTTCATAGATCGACGCTCAGCCACTGAGCCATGCTGGCTGGGCCAGAGTCTGTGCTCTTAATCACTGTTCTGCATTGGGTTCCTGTCCTCAGAGCACTTCTCTCTGCATTTTTCCAGATTTGTTAAATATCGGTCCCACCACTAGACAGGAGGCAGGTGTATTCTGGTGCATCACTGTATCCCTGATACCTCCCTCAGTACCTGCCTTGGGAAGTATTTGTTGAACGAATCAATAAAAAAGGTGTTGTAGTCCAGCTGGCATGGTTCAGTGGTTGAGCGTTGACCTATGAACCAGGAGGTCACGGTTCAATTCCCCATCAGAGTGCATGCCCAGGTTATGGGCTCGATCCCCAATGTGGGGCGTGCAGGAGGCAGCCGATCAATGGTTCTCTTTCATCATAGATGTTTATATCTCTCCATCTCCCTTCCTCTCTGAAATCAATAAAAATATATAGTTTTTAAAAAAAGGTGTTGTAAGGAATGCATATTTGTTGAATGAAAAATTAGAGTAAAAATTGTAAAAGCAGTTTTTAGCACTTACTATAGGCCAAGCACTGTGGAAGCAGGCATTTCATATACAGTGGGGCCTTGACTTACGAGTTTAATTCGTTCCATGACGGAGCTCATAACTCAAATTACTCGTATGTCAAATCAATTGTGAACGAGTGAGACACGTGATGCTGGGCTGATGTGGTGTTCACTGTGACGTTCGCTGCGCCAACTAGCGGTGGGGTATCTGAAGCTGGCTCGTAACCCGAATTTTAGCTCGCAACTCAAAGCAAAAAATCAGCCGAGAGACGACTCGTATCTCGAAAAACCTGTTAGTCGGGACACTCGTAAGTCAAGGCCCCACTGTACCTAATCTTATCTCATCCTCCCAACACTGTGATTAGGCATATACACATAGATGTGCTTTTTACGTGTAAATCTCTTCATTTTCCCAGAAGAAACAGGGGCTCAGAGAGGCTACATAATTTGCCTTAGGTCAACCAGTGGTAAGTTGCAGATCCTAGAGCTCAGACCAATTCTGAAACCTACTATCTGAAACCCTCGACCAGATGTCTTCCACCCTAGCTGTGCATCCGCATCACCTGGGAGTTTTGCAAAAATAGCACAGAGGCCCGAGACGGTGGCTCGGTGGGCCCAAAATGTGATGGGGTGTTCTCCTAAGCTCCTCGGGCGATTCTGCTGGGCTGCCAGGGCACGGAAAGTCAAGAGCTAGAAGAAACTGCAATTACTAAGGCACAAACAGTACCAGCTCACATCCCTCAAATGCTTGTTATGTGCCAGGCACTTGTCCAAGAAAGGCCTTTACATTTTGTATCAGCACATTCAGTCCCTTCAACGAGAAAGGAACTGAGGTGGGAGCTATTATCCCCACTTTAAAGATGAGGAAATCAAGGCACAAATAGGTTAAGCAACTTGCCAGCAGTCCCCCACCCTGGGAAGGGGTCAGGGCCAGGTCCCATCTGTGGCTTCCCTTGGACGTCCGCCCCCCACGCCCCCCTGCAACAAGTACCTCTGCGGAGGAAGGGGATGTGGTCGTCTTCCACAGAGCCAGGGGGCTCCCCGGGCTGGAAGTACATCACTTCCTGGGGGTGAGCCTGTAGCAGGTTCAAACGGTGCAGGCGCTTCTCTGGAGGTAGTGGGGATTAGGGAGCCAAAGTCAGTCCCCTCAGGGGTCAAAGGTTTTGCTCAGAAATCAGAGGAGGGCAGGGGGTCTGAAGGTAAAGCACTGGTCACCCCAGTGTAAGAATGAATGTTAGTTCCCCCTTCCTGCAGCTGTACCGTGTTCCCCGATGATCATTAGCAGCATGCCCACTTTACAGACAGGAAATGGAGGCTCAGGGATGAAGCCGCTTGCCCAAGTTCACACAGCCAGTAAGGAGAGCCAAGATTCGAACCCAGGGCTACCTGACCCCCTGCCCTGTTTATAATCGGACTGCTGTGGGATCTGTTTGTGTCTTGCCCTTTGTGTTAGTGCCGTAGAGAGAAGGCTGGATGACCCCTCAGAGGACAGGTGCCTGCCCCACCCCGACCCTCCCACCTGCATTCCAGGCTGGAGCCTGCCTCCACCGTCACCCTTACCGATGCTCTTCAGCCGATGGAACCAGCGGGCTGTGCGGGGGAAGTGACTGTAGAAGGTTGGATGGGGGGCTCCCAGGAGATCAAGAAGCATAAAGAGCTCCTAGGGAGAGAGGCCAGGCTGGAGAGGCCAGGTGGGATGCTGCCAACCTTACCTTACCCCCTCCCTCCCTCACCGAACCCAGTGGGGCCCTGGTCTTACAATAGCCTGGATCCTGGTGGGGCCAGGACTGTGGGGTGCAGACTCCATGAGCTGGGCCAGGTGCCGGGAGCCATAGAGGGAGTCCTTGGGTCCCCACTCCTTCAGCGCCTCTTCGCCGTCCAAGAAAAGCAGCTGCAGGGTCACTGGGGCTGCCTGTGGGAGCTGGTGCTCAGTGTCAGCCCTGATCTTGACCCACCCCCATTTCCTGTCCCCTGCAAAGCTGAATGGGACAAACTAGGTCTCCTCACTCATAGAGCATAGACTCTGAGCCAGACCATCTGGGTTCAAATCCTGGCTCAGCTGCTTCCTAGCCAAGCAGTCATGGGTAAGTTATTAACTTCTCAAAGCATCAGTATCCTCATGTAGAAATGGGGTTAAGAGAGAGAGAGAGAGAGAGAGAAAGAAAGAAAGAAATGGGGTTAATAACAGTTCTATTTATAGGGTAGGATTCGAACCAGGTCCTAGAATAGTAACTGGCACATAGTAACTAAAGGGTTAGCTCTGATTATTATCATTATTTCTCTAGCCCGTTTTGTAAGAGACACACCCAGAAATGAATAATTATACAAACAGTGAAATGCAGTTGAGACCAATTGCTCCCCAAAATTACAGGGTCCTGAAAGAACACAGGAAGGGTGTGGAGCATAGCTGGCCCAGGGGCATGTCGGGTCTGTGGGAAAGGGATGTTTGTACTGAGGGTAGTGGGAGCTGGCCTGGCAAACCGGGTCAGAGGCAAGGAAGCAATATGGACCAGGGCGGGGCCAGAGAAGGGGTCAGGGAAAGTTTGAGAAGTGGCCTGAGGGGTCAGCAAGGGCCAGGGAGCTTGGGCTTTGGGGCACTGGGAAGGGGGGCGGGTCTAAGCAGGGGAGGAGCATGAGGAAACTAGTGTTTTCATTCATTCATTCATTCCACGCATCTTATTTTTTATTTTTTCCTACTTCCACTCATTTTAATTGACATCTTACTTCATTCCAGGCAATACTCTGGGCCCAGGGAATAGACCAGAAACAAAGCAGCCAAGTCCCTGACTAGATGGAGCTTATTCTAGTGTGAGACAGACAAACAAATCAACATAAGCATCACAAATCATGGGAAGGCCTTGTTGAGGCGGTAACATCAGAATGGACACCTGAATGAAGGACGGGAGCCAGCTAGGAAGATAACTGAGAAAAGCACATTCGCCCTAGCCGGTTTGGCTCAGTGGATAGAGCGTCGGCCTGCGGACTGGAGGGTCCCGGGTTCGATTCCAGCCAAGGGCACATGCCTGGGTTGTGGGCTCTATCCCCAGTAGGGGGCGTGCAGGAGGCAGCCAATCAATGATTCTCTCTCATCATTGATGTTTCTATCTCTCTATCCTCCCCCTTCCTCTCTGAAATCAATAAAAATATATTGAAAGAAAGAAAGAAAGAGAGAAAGAAAGAAAGAAGGAAAGCACATCCCAGCAAGTACAAATGCTCCTCGGGGAGTTATCCTTGTGGATTTGAGGTACACAAGGCAGTAGGTAGCTAGAGTAGGATGAGAGAGGGGCGAGGGGTAGCAGGTGAGACTAGAGAGGTAACTAGTAGGATGGGGCGCATCTCATGGGCCACTATATAAACTCTCTGGCTTATGCATGGAATGAGGTAGGGGCCATGGGAGAATTTGGGGCAGAGAAGGGACAGGAGTTGGAAAGATCCCGGTGGCTTTGTATGTGTAGTGGTGACAGGAAAACAAGACCGGGCAAGGGAGGGTGGTGGCTTCAACCAAGGGAGAGGTTGTCCCTGCCTTCCCCCCTCTCCTCCCCCCACTCCTCACCTGATCCTTGGTTCTACTTAGTTCCTGGTCCAGGGCCTGGGCCAGCTCCAGTAGCAGGGCACAAGGCACAGCTGAATCCGTGGCCCCCACAAATGGGGCTGGATCAGATGGGAAGAGCTTCGAGTCATAATGGCAGGCAAGGGTGAGGTGACGGGCAGCCCCTGGGTCCAGTGTGGCCACCACATTGGCAAAGTCCAGTGGTCCCAGGGGCGTTGAGGCTGTGAAGGGGTCCAGCTCCACGTGCCAGCCTGCCGTCAGGGTCCGCAAAGTGGCCTCCAGGAACTAGTGGCAAGAGAGAGGTGGGTGGGGGTACTGGGGAGTGTAGAGGGAAAAGGGCCATGTGACCTGAGCCATGCAGAGCAGTCGGGTTGACTCACAAGTCCCACTTCAGTTTTAATCATTCCTTTCACACGTCTGCTAAGTACCTATTAAGTGCCATGGAATGGCCCCACCTCTTGATGCCAAGACTAACCATAGCTCACTCCTCTAAAGCCCTAAGTGTGTGCCAAGCCCTGTTCTAGGAACTCTGTGGGGTAGGGACCATCAGTGGCTCAATTCAAAGATGAGGAAGCCGAAACCGGTTTGGCTCAGTGGATAGAGCGTCGGCCTGCGGACTGAGGGGTCCCAGGTTCGATTCCGGTCAAGGGCATGTACCTGGGTTGCGGGCACATCCCCAGTGGGAGATGTGCAGGAGGCGGCTGATCGATGTTTCTCTCCCATCGATGTTTCTAACTCTCTCTCTCTCTCTCTCCCCTCCTCTCTGTAAAAAATCAATAAAATATATTTAAAAAAACAAACAAAAAACAAAGATGAGGAAACTGAGGGTCGGGGCGCTTAGGAAACTACTCCAGGGGGCTGAAGTGGGATTTGAACGCGGGCAGTATTCAAATGACTCTGGCTGCTTTCTGGGGGGCAATATAGAGTTGTTACAGCACCAGCTCTGGAACCAACCTGTTTGGATTGAAACCATAGGTACACCATTTACTAGCTGTGGGATTTGGGCATAAAAGGCCCAACTGCTCTGGGCCTCAGTTTCCCCGTCTGCATAGTGAAGGTCACATTGGTACCCACTTCATAAGGCTGTTGTTACTTGTGCCAAGCACAAAGTAGGCTTTTAGTGGGGGCTGGACAGAGGGCAGTACAGCCTGGTAGTCACTTACTCTAGAGTCTCTAGACTCTAGAGAGTAAGTTTAGCTCCACCCTCTGGGGTCTTGGGCAGAATGCCTATTTCCCCGTTCCCTAGCAGTCTGAGGGGTCAGGTGTGAGTGACCCTTTACCTTTCTGACTTGGAGACTGCCCGGGCTGCCCGGCGTTCGCACAACCAGCAGGGGGCGCAGGTAAGTGTTCCAGAGACGCTGGGGGTCCAGTTGCCCCACCACCTTCCGCATTCGGGCTTCGGGGAGGCTCGCGATCAATGGGCCCTTGGGTAAGGGGGGTGGGATGGGGAAAAGATGAACGTGAGAGCAACCCCCCTTCTGACCCTACTCCGGGCGCCGTCGCCCCTAAGAAGCCCCGGTTCCTTTTCCTAATTGCAGGTTCCCGCATCAGAGGTGTCTAGGATAAACCCTAGTCACAGGAAAAGCCCATCCTGTCCATCCTACCCAAATCCTGATGGGGAAATCGAGGCCCAGCGAGTGGAAGGGACTCTTCCAAATGGATGAGTTTAGGATTAGAGCCCAGAAATCCCAATTTCACCACCCCAGACCCTTCCTCTTAAAGGGGAGCCACTATTACAGAACAAGCCTGAAGCCTCATTCCATTAACAAGGGGGATGCGTCCTAAAGACTACGGCAGTGGCACCTGCAGCTTAGGACGTGATAAAGCCACGTCCACCCGAAACCTTAGGTACGGGGAGGAGAGGGATGAGGGGCCCCCGTGGTGCCCCCGCCGGGCCTCACCCGCAGCTCCCGGCCGGGCGGCAGCTCCTCAGCCCCGCGGTGCCAACCGCTCCAGATGGTGTAGAACGCCGAGGCCACGGCCAGCGCCAGCAGCAGCAGCGGCAGCTGCTGCGCCCGCGGTAGCAGGCGGCGATTGGGCGGGGAGGGTGGCTGCAAGAGGCCGCGTCCCCCGAGCCGTAGCCGGGGCCGCCCGCGGCCCCCGGAACGCATGGTAGCTTTGCCCAGAAACCGGTCCTGGACCGCGGATCGAATTTAGGCCCAGCCAAGTCCCACCCCGTGGAATTACCGGGCCAATGAGCAACAAGAGCGGCTGCACCATCCCACCCTCCCGCGAGCAGCGAAGCCAATAGGGACTCTCGTTCTGAGGCCACGCCCCCCAGCCTCCCAGCGGCTTAGGCAACGATTCCCCAGAGAGTTACACAACCGTAAAGGGAGCGTGAAAGGGGTAGGCTCCGCCTCAGCGTGAGAGGGGAAGCCAATGAGAAGCGTTTAATTATGGAAAACCTTCGACTTCCCGGGCGTGAGTCCACGCCCCTCCCGGATGTAGGCACAGCTTTGGTTTCGTGGAGTCGGAAAGATCAATAGACACGTAAACGAACCTTCCCCCAAGAGAAAGGGGCGGGGTCTATCCCCGAAAGAGAAGAGTGGATTGGCTTATCAGAGACCCCGCCCCCGAAGGGAGGGCCGGCGGGCCTTTAGAACTGGCGCGTCCTTTCCCTTGAGCCACCTGAGCCGTTCTACCACGAAATGGACTAAATCGGACCCGCTTTCTTTTTCTCTCCGTTGTCGTGAATATCTAACCCGTATGGTCCTGAGTGACCCTGAACCACTAAGCAATGCTTTTACCCCAACGCCTCTACCAAGGAACTGAATAGAACCAAGGCGGGCTCGCTGGACCAACAGGCCACACCCACACCGCTGGTTGAGTTTGCGCAGGCGCGCACGGAAGTGAGCTGCGGGAAGCGGAAGTCCCGCCTTTCTCGCGCTTTCTCTTCGGAGGCCGAGGCAACGCGGAGGACAGGAGCGTTCTGAGAGCGCAACCACCGCCACCATGTGAGGCCGGGGAGGCTTAAACGGCGGGAGTGGGTGGAGGGTGCAAATTTGGCCACTTACCGGTGGAAGGGGATGGGCAGAGCGGGGCGCGGAGACGGGGGTTTTAGGGGTCGAGTGGGGGGTCCTGTTCTGTTGAGTTTGAGAACGCGCGTGGGGCTTTTGACGGCGCCTGAGTTCCGGAGAGGGAACAGCTCTATCAGATAACGGGCTGGCGGCTTTTCCAAATAATTAGCCTTCCTGAAATGAATTTTAAGCGGGAGCGATTTTACGAATACAGAACCTCGAGAGGAGAAATGCGGAATTGTGGGAATAACGACTTGAGATGAGGGACTATCCGGATAATTTGAGCTGGGGACCTAATTCGTGACACTTTCTAATAATGAGACACAGGAATGATTTTTAGTCATTTATCCATGGAGCAATTACGGAAGTGCTCGTGTATCAGGCACTGCTTTACCTACCTGGGGCCTATCAGTGAAGTCTCCTCCCCCAAGAAAAGTCCTCTGCTCAGCTTATGGGGAGGGAAGAGGCAAGTGGTAAATGTAATAATAATAAACAGGTAAAGTATATGGTGTGTTAGGTGACCGGGGCTACGAATAAAGAAACGAGAGCAGAGTAAAAACAACGCTAATTTTGAGAGATAGTAACTTAACTAGCACAGAAGGGCACGTGTAAAGAAAGTGAGAGAAAGAGCCACAGAGATACCTGGAGAGGCATCCAGGCAGAGGCCCAGGATGAAAATTTGCCAAATATCTTAACCACTCAAGAGGCCACTGTGGCTGCAACAGAGTGAAAGAGATGGGTAGGTGCAGGGCCTGGTAAAAACATTGGATTTTGCTTTTTTGCACTGAGATAGGAGCCCCGAGAGGATTTTGAAGAGCGAGATGACGTGACTTAGGTCTTGGCTCCATAGAGCACTGCCGGGCAGTGTAAGGAGACCAGCCAGACTCTAGGAAAGAGGTGATGGAGGGGCAGGATGTGGTAAGAGATGGCTGGATTCTGGATATATTTTAGAGGCAGATGGCAGGCTTTGCAGACAGATTGAATGTAGGATGTGAGAGAGAGAAGAGAATCAAGTTGACACCGGTTTTTGCTCAAAGAACTGGGAGGGTGGTGTTGCCCTTGATGGAGATGAGGAAGGCTGTGGCTAGAGTAAATGGAGGTGGTTGGGCATTGTGGAGCTCGGTCTAGGATGTGCAAGATTGGAAATCTCTTAGGCATCCAGATGGTGATGCCGTGCGAGGCCTGCGGAGGGTGGGTGTGCTGGGGGAAAGGTTGGGAAGGCGCGGGAGCGCTCTCACCTGTGGGTTTCATACTTGCCCACTCAGGAGCCTTCTCAACAAGCCCAAGAGTGAGATGACCCCGGAGGAGCTGCAGAAGCGGGAGGAGGAGGAGTTTAACACGGGCCCGCTCTCCGTGCTCACGCAGTCCGTCAAGAACAACACCCAGGTGCTCATCAACTGTCGCAACAACAAGAAGCTCCTGGGCCGGGTGAAGGCTTTTGACAGGTGACGGCTTTTTGACGGGCTCTTGGGAGGGGTTCTCTCCAGGCCTGGAGAATCAGCCCCAGCTGCAGCCCGAGGAGCCTGCATCCCAGGTTCCTCAGAAGCTAGGACAGTGATGGCGAACCTTTTGAGCTCGGCGTGTCAGCATTTTGAAAAACCCTAACTTAACTCTGGTGCCGTGTCACATGTAGAAATTTTTTTGATATTTGCAACCATAGTAAAACAAAGACTTATATTTTTTGATATTTATTTTATATATTGAAATGCCATTTAACAAAGAAAAATCAACCAAAAAAATGAGTTTGCGTGTCATAGGTTCGCCATCACTGAGCTAGGAGAATAAGCACCTTAAAACCCAAGGTGTGCCTGTCTCTTGCTGGAGGGGCATCTACTTAGGAGCCAGTCCCCGTGGGTTCATGTCCCAAGGCTGTCTCAGCAGCCACGTGACCTTTGGCAGGTGACTGTCGTGTCTGTACAGTGGCAATAATCATGGTGGTTGCAGAGGTTCAACGGCTTAATACATGTAACGTGTAATAAGTCACTAGAAGCACAGTATCTGGCACACAGGCGCTTCTCAATCTAGGTATTGCATAATTAGAGGGTGCACTGTTCCAGGTACTGTTTTAGGCTCTGGAGACACAGCAGTGACTAAAACAAACCTGGTTTCTAAACTCAGGGAGCTTGTTATAGGTAGGAAAGCCAACGGGAATTGGTAAGTTCTACGGAGAAAAGTAAAGCCAGGTAAGAATATGGAGCACTGGGGAAGGGGATGCTGTATTATATGGGTAATCAGAGAGGCCCCATCTGAAGAGACAGCAATGAACAGACCTGAATAAGATGAACAAGCAATCTAGGACCTGCGTGTTTCAGCCGCAGGGAACATGCCCTTCACCAGAATTGAACCCGAGACCCTTCAGTCTGCGGGCCGACGTTCTAGCCACTGAGCCAAACCGGCTCGGGCTGTAATTCGTACTTTTCAGTTAGCGTTTGTAAAATGCTTTCCTCACAGCAGTGTGCTGAGGCTTGCTTCTGGAACATTTTGGCCACTAGCTGTTACATGAACAAGTCTCCCTCTGAGCCTCACTTTCCTCTTGAGTAAAACGGGAATAAGAACAGGAAGTGCTGAGCACCAGGAAGCAGATAGACCTGGATGGGAACACTGGCTCTGTCACTTCCAAAACGTGTGACCTGGGGTGAGTCACGTCATCCCACTGTGTTCAGTTTTCTGCTGTAGAAGTGGGAGGTAACACTGGTGTTTACCTCCTGGATGAGATGCAGTGATTGAAGGCATGTACTTTATTTCTCTCTCTTTCTCTCTCTCTTATATCTTATTTCTTTTAAGTTGACTTCTTTTTCTTTTCCCCTGTTTCCTCCTCTAGTCCATATAACTCTCCTACCTTTCCAGCCCTCCCAGCCCCCCACCTAGTATGAATCCTGTCACATTTGAATCAGGGAATCTTCTGTGGTGTTGGTTACAGCTTTATTGAAGTATAATTGACCTGTCGTAATATCATAACATTAAAATCAATTGTTTCTTGTTAATCCTCACCCTGGGATATTTTTTCTATTGATTTTTTTTTTTTTTTTAAGAGAGAAATTGGAAGGGAGTGGGGAATTGGGGAGAAAGAGAGAGAGAAACATCCATGTAGGAGAAAGACATCAATTGGTTGCCTCCCATATGGGCTCTGACCGGGGCTTGGCTGGCGTGGCTCAGTGGTTGAACGTCAACCTATGAACCAGGAGGTCACAATTCCGAGTCCCGATCAGGGCACATGCCCGGGTTGCAGGCTCAATCCCCAGTGTGGGGCATGCAGGAGGCAGCCAATCAATAATTCTCTCTCATCATTGATATTTCTATCTCTCCCTCTACCTTCCCCTCTGAAATCAATAAAAATATATTTTTTTAAAAAAGATGGTGGAGAATACTTTTTAGTTTATTCTTAAATCACTGCCAGTAGCACAGCACGGTGTTGTTTTTTGCTTTTTTGTTATTAATCCTCACCCGGGGATATTTTTGGGAATAAAGCCTGCAACCGAGGTATGTGCCCTTGACTGGAATCGAACCCGGGACCCTTTAGTTCACAGTCGGATGCTCTATCCACTGAGCCAAACCAGCTAGGGCAGCACACAGTACTAAGCCTTGGCTTTTTCACTTAATAAGAGTCCAAAGAAAGGTTTCCATCCAGCCCTAACCAATTTGGCTCAGTGAATAGAGCGCCGCCTGCAGACTCAAGGGTCCCAGGTTTGATTCCGGTCAAGGGCATGTACCTTGGTTGCGGGCACATCCCCAGTAGGGGGTGTGCAGGAGGCAGCTGATCGATGTTTCTCTCTCATCGATGTTTCTAACTCTCTATCCCTCTCCCTTCCCCTCCGTAAAAAATCAATAAAATATATATATTTTTTAAAAGTTTCCATCCAGCTTGTCCCCTGGGTCACTCCACTGCCACCAATCTCTAGGGGTCTTCCTAGGATTCTGCATTGTACAAGCAAGTGGGTGGTAGGCTTCTCCTACCTCACCCCCTTTTTCCTACAAAAGGTAACTTTCCATGTATACTGTTCTCCCTTTTCCACTCAACAGGATCTGGTGGTTACTCCATAGCAAGGCATAGAGCTTCCTTGTCTTTTTTTCTCTACATTTTCTTTCCTTTTTTTTTTTTTTTTTTAATTAATTTCTGAGAAGAAGGAAGAGGGA